ATTATTTTGTGTTTTTTATTTTATGTTACTTTAATTTTTTATTTTATTTACTTTATCTTAATTTTGTTTCTTATTTTGTTTTTTATTTTATGTCATTTTAATTTAATTTTTTATTTTATTTACTTTATCTTAATTTTGTTTCTTATTTTGTTTTTTATTTTATGTCATTTTAATTTAATTTTTTATTTTATTTACTTTATCTTAATTTTGTTTCTTATTTTGTTTTTTATTTTATGTTATTTTAATTTTTTATTTTATTTACTTTATCTTAATTTTGTTTCTTATTTTGTTTTTTATTTTGTCATTTTATTTTAATTTTTTATTTTATTTACTTTATCTTAATTTTGTTTCTTATTTTGTTTCTTATTTTGTTATTTTAATTTTTTATTTTATTTACTTTATCTTAATTTTGTTTCTTATTTTGTTTCTTATTTTATGTTATTTTAATTTAATTTTTATTTTATTTATCTTAATTTTGTTTCTAATTTAATCTTTTATTTTCTATTTTATGTTATTTTTATTTTTTTATTTTTATTTTTATTTTCTATTTTGTTATTTTAATTTAATTTTTGCTTCTTTAATTTTATGTATTTTTAATTTACTTTGTTTAATTGTTTATTTATTTTGTTTAATTTTTCATTTTATTTTTCATTTTATTATTTGTGAAATGTATTTTCCGCCCATCTTACCATCGACTAATGTTGTGCGGTCATGAGTCGAGGACTCCCTGCAATTAAACGGGGTGGGGGTGGGGGGGCAGGTGGGATAGTCTGGGGCGCCTCTGTCTGCCAACTCAGCCTCCATCCTCTGCCTCTTCTCCCTGCAGAGCGCCACAAGAACCGGAAGCCGCCAGAGGAAGAGCCGTCGGCGCCTCCCGGCGAAGAGACGTCCGCGATGCGTGCCCAGGCGCAGGGCCAGCCCCAGCCGCCCTGCAGCTGCAGAGCCAGCAGCTCCAGCCTGATCGGGGGCAGCGGGGCTGGCTGGGAGGGAACGGCCCTCCTGCACCACGGCAGCTACATCAAGCTGGGCTGCCTGCAGTTCGTCTTCAGCATCACGGAGTTCGCAACCAAGCATCCCAAGGTGGACGCCTCGGCCTTAGCCCAAGAGACGGACTTAGAGGAGAAGCTGTCCCCCAGGGGCCCCCAGGCCCCCGTGCTCCGGTCCAACTCAGTGCCATAGGAGCCGTGGGGCGGCCCGGGGAGGTGGGGGGGGGGAGAAGCCCTCCTCTCTCCCCCTCCCCCCACCGGATCAGAGACGCCTGTTCGTTTGACACGACCCCCCCACCCACCCCGTCTGTCCGCATTTCTTTTTCTTTTTCTCCTCCATGGGGGCTGCAGACTTTGGAGGCCCTTTGCATGAAATGAAGAAACTTTCAATTTTTTTTTTTTTTAATGGTTTGCTCAAGTTTTAGGGGCATTTGCACATATATTTGTACTATACATTTCATTTAAAAGACGAAAAAAAAAAAAAGGAAAAAGGAAACTGCCACACGCGGAGGCTATGCTGGGTTGGAGGGGGGGCGGCGGCCGGGGGGTCGTAGCCCCCGCGGCCAGCG